AAGTGGGTCGAACTTCGTGAAACATCACTGAGATTACAGCCGAAAATATCACAAACTACGAGGGTAACCAAATGATGAGTCAATGCATTCTATTCATTATACGTTTCGGTACACGTGTACTAATGTTCTTCCAGTCACTTTGTTTTTACGGGTTTGGTTTTAACTTGCATGCTATTTTTCAATTCTCTTCTATATGGTTGGTTAGTTTAATTTAAATCAAAATTCTTTTATTATAAAAACTGGTTAACTATGACACTTGCAAACTACAAATTACATTTCGAAATAAAAATTATATATATATAAAAACCCGTCGCTTTTAACAGGTGGAACTGTCTTCCAGAAGACAGGCCCACCTGTTGGTTCAACATTTTCTACCGCACGTGTTTTGTTTTTTTTACTATCACGAACATAAAAAAGAGCATATATTACTATATTTTCACAAGACGAGCGGAAATTTAAATCATTTGAAGGGTAACGATAAATGTTACGACACCGGTGCAAACAAAGTTACAGAAATTCTTGGAATGTTCAGTTTATTTATATCACACACCGGAATCAGGTGATTATTTCGTTTACGTGCAAAATGTGCCTTCATGTACACACGTACTCGCCCTCAGGTATAACCTACTCTTTAACTTTACAAAGCCAGAACTGCGGAGTTCAACGATCCGGACAAGGAACCAACGAACGCAGGCGGTGAGGTCTTTTCAGTTGGCTGACCGACCCAGATACATTATACAATAGACCGATACATTTTTCCCACAACTTTTCCCAGGCAAAGGAATCTGAAGGAGCGTACGTTACTGAACAACACTATGTTGCTGAGGCGTTAAGCCTAAGGTGTTGATGCTCTTATTTGTAAAAACATACCACAAACATCCAATTTCTTAACTTTTAAGATTAATGGAGCCCGAGCACATATCTTCTTCTTTAGGCAGATACATGTACAATATTTTGAATATATTTGAAAATAGCCGTTTAAAAATGACAAAAAAAAAACAATGCTACAAAGTATCTTAACTAAGTACAGGATCGAAAAATATGCAAAACAAAAAAAGCCCGTATACAACCTTATTTACTTTAATTCTGATTTATGAGTGACTTAAATAAAACTGGCAAAACATTTGACTTCACCAACATCATTTAGTTCACATTATAACAGTTGTTGTTCACGTAAGTTGATAATATAAATAGCGTCTCAACCACTACTGTGTTTGTCGTATTCAAGCCGGCCTGAAGAGCCCTCGTATTGGACGAAAGACCTTGTGGCACTGGATACAAGTCATAGTGTGGCTGACATATTGTTACTCATTTTTCTTTACTTTCACTCAGTTCTTGAGACAAACATGGTGTGGTTTGGCCTGAAATTCTTCTAATGTTTTTCAACAAGGAACAATATTCAATAATACTACCAGGCTAAGCATAAGAAAGAATACTTCATCAAAAAATAAATTAAAAAATGTTTAAATCCTACAATCATCAATGAAGACAATTCCTTCCATGTCGGCTTTTTTAAACATTTGACAACATTATTTGTACACTAATTTACTTATGGATTTATGAATTGTTGGTTGCACAGTCCTTAATAACAAGAAATTTAGCCAACATTCCATTACTGGACTGAAAACTTATGTACTACATCTGAAGTTAGGAGTCCATAGAATTTTCAAATCCAGAACAATTTCTTCCACCTAAACTTTCTCCTAAATAAAAAACATACCATTAATACTACCAATGGCTGTCGAGGTCCCTTATGGACTTTACAAAAAATAATAATAGTGATTCCAGTTAATTTTTTCCATCAGTTTTTTTTTTACAACGAGTAATGCATCAGGTAAAGATATTAAATTCTTCAAATGATGTGATACATGAACTCTACTGGCAGTGAAAGGTATTAAAACAAGTAAATACCAACTTGTTTTTCTTTGTTATAACACCAGTTATAAAACCAACCTGCCATAAGCTTTAAGGGCTGATTTACAGCATCATAAACTCACAAGTAAAGAATGAATATTGACAGTTTTTTTACCCAACGAAACATTATTATTTTTAATAATAATTACAAAAAAAGTGTTTAATTAAAAAGTAATATACCAATAAATATTGTTTGTCAAATTGAACATAAACAATTCTGTTTACCTTTTTAATAAAATAACTCTAAGCAAGTTAATACTACATCATACTAATATTAACAACACAAAAAATAGGCTTCCTTGTTTTTTTAGTATACAACAGGTTGTAAGCAAACCATTTTATATTTTATGTAAATACTGTGTTATATAGCTACTATCTGCTTGAACAAGTATGCATACAATACCATTCATTATAGTGTGGCAAACTTGTTACCATAAAGATACTGGAACGTTGCCAACAAATCGTATTTGTGTGTGTATGTTTATTCAAAAATAAAAAAAAATTACACACTAATATAACCATGGTGAACATCAGTATTAAAAAATATTTGTAACAATCCCATTAAGGAAAAAAATATCAAGATAAAAAAATCATTACCCGAAAATTTATTTCTCATTTTTAAACTTTTAACACATTTTAATGCATTATGTAACGTGTGATAATTATTTAGCTGACCTAAATATCTGCAAACTTCAAATATTTATTTGAAGAAAATTTGCTCAACAGAGAATTCTTATCAACTTCTACGGAGTAAGCTTGAACAGAAACAAATCTCACGATGAAATTTTTCACACTAGTTAATTCACCACCACAAGATTTGTCTGGTTGTTTGAAATATAATGCTAAAGTTAAGATTACAAATGTGGCAACTTTTGTAACAAACCACCTAAAATGCAGTGAGAAAGCCCTAATTGAATGACGTTAACTTCTTAAACCCAAGCGAAAGCTGCCAGCTTTCGGCCGCAAATCCAGATTTACCCATCGGACGGTGACAGCTTCCAATAACATTTCTATCTCTTTGAATGAAAACTAATCCTAATGTTATTATCGACAAAAAAATTGTGGGTTTAAAGAGTTAATTTAGTTAATATAAAAACAAATGTATTCTCAAGGTAAGGCTTCAAGATATTACATGTTAACCATTTGTTTATTCTCACTATATCTACAGCAAGAAAACATTCTCACTACTGTCCTCCCAAGTATTAATATTATATAAAGTACCAAAAATTTGTAAATCATCTCCTGATGCAAAAGTGCAATTACTACTGGATCAGCTGAAATAATAACAATAATTCTAACAGAAATCCTTACCCATAGAATTCCTTAAAGAAAAAGAGTGAGGCACCCTTTAAAACCAAAAACACAGGAAACACAAAACTAAGATACTTACCAAATATATACAGAGACCTCAAGTATTCATCAGGTAAAAAAAGAGATGACTCTTACAACTAATCCAAAGACGCATGAAACACAGAAATAAGATATATATATATATATATATATATATATACACGAGATCGAGGCACTCCCTTAAAACCAGCTGAATGACATGAAACAGAGATCTATTCCCTACATATATATAAAAAAAAAAGACTGAGGACCCCTTAAAACTAATCAAAAGACATATGAAACACAGAACTAAAACATTCAGATAGATATAAAAGAGAGATTGAGGCACCCCTTAAAACTACGATGATTACATAAGCTTGTTGAAATGTTGTACATTTGTAACAGTTTCTTTCACTACCCATTCAAGCTGTCTCCAAACTTTATACTTTATATGAATTGGCATCTGTGCAGGTTAGACTTTGTCTATAGATTTTGTGCACCTGATTCAAATTTCTAGAGGGAAATTCAAACTGCATTATGTGGTCACCATGTGGCAACAGGTGTATCTACAGGGTTAAAACCAATCGAAAAACCACAGAACTAAAATAATCACTACATTAAAAAAGAAAAATAGATTGAGGTACCCTACTTAAAACTAATTGAAATACACATGAAACACAGAACTAAAATATTCACTACATTAAAAAAAAAAAGATTGAGGCACCCCACTTAAAACTAATTGAAAGACATATAAAACACAGAACTAAAATATTTATCAGACTTAAAAAAAAACTGACACACCTTTAAAACCAACTGAAAGACATATGAAACACAGAACTAAAATATTCATAAGACTTAAAAAAAAAAGAATCTGACACACCCTTTAAAACCAACTAAAAGACCTATGTAACACAGAACTAAAATATTAACCAGATTAAAAAAAAGAAACTGATGGTATGAAAAAATTTCAAATGTAATTCACGTAAAAAGCATGCTATATGCGAGAGGAAAATTATCAAAATCATGCAGCCTAACAGATCAACCCTTACCAAACAAACATAGAAAAAAAGTAATCGTAGCCTTTGAGATTCATGTATCTATTAAAAATTAAATACAAACTGATGTACACTAATAACAACTCATGCTTTCAAACAGATGACAAGGTGCACTGCTAAAAATCACAAAGGTTGTTTAAAAGGAAAAACAAATTTTATTTCCTGTAAGTCAGATTGCAACCAACAGACGAACATTTCACTGTTAACTATACTAGTTCAGAAAATTGCAGCTGGATGCTACAAGTCTTACTGTATACTTTAAGAACACCAGATGTCTGTAAATGCTGTCCATACACTATCCCTTACAGAATAAAAATAAACATGTGGTCATACACATTTTTTTTTTTAACCAATAGTTGATGTGCATAGCCATTTCACTTTATTTTGGTTAACACTTTGATTATAGAATTTTTTTTCTAAACAAATGTTATTTATATTTGCCATTTTGTGACCATGTTGTGTACTATTTATTAGGAAAATGCAAAACAAAAGTTGCCTTTAACAGCAGGACAATTTTTATCTACAGTATTAACAATACATTTTTGGGCACAACTTAGCATATCCACAATTTGGAAAGAAAATCCAGTTTCTTTTTAAACACCTTCCTGTACAGGTAGACAAGTAAAACAATTATAGACAAAACTAGCAATATATTTTAAATTAATAATGACACCAAAAATAATTTTTTTGGGGGGAAAGTACCTGTTAATCCAGAAACCAAGTTCGATAAGTCTGGTTCTTCTCCATACCAAAAAATCCACAGTTCTTTACTAAAATTATGCTGGTTATTATCTCTTGGCCTATGAGGTTCAGAATGTCCAGACTTTGAGGGTACTTTTCTCCAAACACACAGAAGACCTGCAGCTAAACATTTACTGTAGGATGAAAGTACTGGGTCCTCCAAAGGTTCTGAATCAAGACACAGTACTCCATCAGCAAACAAGCGTCGCCATTTTATCCCACACAAGTCAGTCTAAAAGGTTGCAGAAAAATATTAGTTGCTTATTCATTCTACACAATATTAATGTACAAATACTTGAATTTAATACCAGTAAACGATTAATGCTAACATAAAAAAAAAGAAAAACAACGACAATATGAAGTAAAATCACATCTTCGTAATAAAAATAGCCTTACTAAATTGTAAAGTAAAAAAAAATATTGCATTACTTGAAGGTTTAAATTTTTTTAAATAAACTCAAAGTAAGAGTAATAACAGGAGTATTTTAATATCTTAAATAATAACTTCCAATAAGAGTAAGCTATGTACTCGGAGTGAAACTTAAAACCAACCTAGCTATCAGCATAGCTAATTAATATATACAAATATATTTCTATGTTCTTAATCAAGAATTTAGTTATGCCGTAAACTTAAATGCCAAGTTTTAGCGCAGTGTATGAAAAAATAATTCAACCATTATTAAACATGAATGCTCCAAATGTAATATATTTTACAATACAGACTAGATTTCTGGCAACCAGTACTTAGGAGTAATGTAGTTTTTCACCTTAATAAACAGTACTAGTTTTGTGATAAGGTCCCAGATTGTATTTTAACAATACTCTTTTGTTTTTGTGTGAAACATATTGCATGAAATATAGGAGACTACCCTTATACTTAAAAGGTTACAGTTTAAATTCCAAAAATTAGTGAAACATTGGAAACCAGTAGACCTATCTTTTGTGATAAAAATCACAAAAACTGCAGATTTATTTTTCCCACATTACTCTTAGTAAACACTGAGAGCTGGTAAAGTATTAGAAACCAACAGGCCTAGTGTTTACGAAAGTTATCTTTAGAATGGTTATAAACATGTGCATCACATTTTTTACAACAGATATTAGCATTAGGCCTAATGTTGCAATGATGTAGGACTTATGATAACTTATATTCCACACAAAAACAAGTACACGAACAATTTAGCAAATTGTCACAAAAATATTAGATGAATAAATATTTGTTTCAAGTAAAATAAACAGAAAATTATATTATGTGGAGAATTAAAACAAACAGCCATAAACAGAACAATGTAAATAATAAAAACCAAAAAATAGAGAGAGACAAAACATATTAATTACAATTATCGAAGTGATGAATCAATGTATGTTAGTCATTATAACTTTTTATTATATTTACATTCATAGTTAGTTTGGTATATTAAATTAGCTATATTTTTTACAGGATTAATTTTTAGTTTTAACGTATGTAGCTTGCTTTTAATCAGAACTTATTGAAAAATACTTCAAACTTATAACTAATGTAAAAATAAAATAAAAAGAACTATAATATGAAAAAATGGGCTAAGCTAAGTAAGATGTAAGAAACAAGGATAAAGACTAGAAAAAAAACACAAATTAGCAGATATTGGTACACATTTAAAATTATTTAATGAAATTCACATTTGATTCTGTTTATTTCTTTTGAGAAAAATGCTCAAGTTTTATACAGTAGAAAAGAAATAGAAAAATAACCTTAAACAACTACAAGTTACTTAAATTATAGATTATGAGGCACTACAAGGCCTCTGGGTTCCTCAAGGATACCCTTACTCCCAAAATCACTCAAAAAATGGAAAAATAATCATTAAATCCAGTCATGGTCCTTCAAACATTCATCAACCCACATTATTTAACAGTCCTTTACCGTAAACTTGCAACCCCCAAAACTTCAGATAGTGACTTGTTTCACAAGTTTACCACAATCTGGAGAAGTAAAACCACTGCAACTGAAACTTGCAGAATTCAGTAAGAATCATCTTCTGAACACTTTCCACTAATTCAATGTACTTACTAAGGTAAGAGAAACAAAGCTACACACAATTTTCCAACCGAGGTCCTATAACTGAAATATTCATTGTCGATGCATGCATGCATACAAGTACAAAATTCAGATGTTGGAAACATATTTACAAAAACAGTTTGTATAATTAATAATTTTTTTTCCCCCTCAAACTGAAATGAGATAGAATCAGATTGTATTCACCATCTAAAACAATCATATCGTTCTTCACCAACACAAATATTTATGGTACTGTGCGATGCAAAATTCAGTTTAAAGTGATTGTGTACTTGATTCTATGTGAAATATTAATTGTAAGAATTTGTAATGTTAGGCTTAAGGTTAATGTTTGCTGTGAAAAAAACAACAACAACAAAAGAAATTATGTATGCAATAGGGTTACATGTTTAAAATAAAAACATCATGCAAAATCTCACACAAAAAACAAATGTCCTAGCTATGTTTTACAGCATCAATTTACATATAATTTGGCAGAGCAAATCAAAAATTCATGCACATATTTGTGAGATATAGTTAAGCCTATTTACACACATTTTCTACATTCCTTTTTTTTTCGGTAATCTATTTCACAAAAATTTTGTCAGGCTCTAATGATGGTAAACCATATCTACAAAGATAAAATTAAAAATAAATTGCTTAATTTATGAATCTAATAATAATAATCTGAGATAATATTGAACTGACAGAATATGCTTGAAAAATATTTCAGAACATTTAAATTAAAGACAGGTTTAAGCTGAGTAACAAGTAAACCAAAGAATACTATAGAACTGTTAAACAGTGTAACAAAAGTAAGAATTAACATATTCTTAACCGTGTATATATAACATGGTCAAAGATAGCTGTTCTTTTTTTTCATATTCTTATAAATAAATGCTACAAAGAATGAAGAAATTTGATAAATAAAGTACAATTACAAGAATTAAAATAAACCCTAGATAGTCGTTTCTTGTAATCAAAAGTTATCATAAAATGTATTTATTTCTTGACAAACATGAGGTGTTAACAAAGCAGCAAATAATAAATAATTTAAATAGAAAACTAACAGAATTTGTTTTAATAATATCACGTCAAAAAAAAAGTGAACTAGTATAATATCCTGCATGACATTCATCTGTTAACTTTACTAACAAACACTAATTTCTTTGTGAATCTTGTTATCCAACATCTAAAACAATTTAGTATAAATAAATGTTCGAATCGGTAGCTTTAAGAAGGGAGCTTTTTACTTCAAAATACAATTAATTATGAATTATATTTATATAACATAAAATATTTGCCTGTTTAAAGTAATGAAAATAATTTAGATCACTATTCGTTTTGTTTTACTCAAATATACGTAAAACTAATTATAACAAAAATGATGAACAAAGCTTGGTGTAAAAATAATACTACTAACAAAGTATAATTACACTTAGGATTAACATTTAACACACAATATAAACTTTACTTCTACTAACACAAACTCATGTTTTAAAAAGAATGAATGTTTTGGATTTCATCAGTTAAGAAATGTGTGTAAAAAGTAACCACAAAAAATTAAATATTCAGTTCAATATATGTTGAAAAAGGTTCATAATTGTATACAATAAACCTGACGTAAGACTGAGGCATCATCAAAAGTGAAAGGAATTAAAATAAGGGAAATTTTAAAAGTAATAAAAAAAAATTATTTGAATGATACGTTTGTCACAAAATTATTTCATAACACAAACCTAACTTAAGTATAAGTTTCATATCAGCTTATTAAATATATCCAAAATCCTAGGAAATCAAAATTGTGAGTAGAATAAGAAACATATTTCTAAAATAAATCATGGGTATAAAATAACTAGCAACTTGAAAATAAAATTAATTTGATAATTAAATGATGAAACTAAAAATAAAATAAAATGAGGGAATTAAAAACTATATATGTTTGTGTATATGTGTGCGTTTTAAACACTAGATTTCATATACAGAAACTAACAAAAATGTAATTTTGAAATTACACACTTGGTAAATACCATCAAATCTCAAATAACTATGTGCCATAGTTAATATATATTATATAAAACTATCTGTTCATACTTCAAGTATTTTAAAATGAAATTCTGTTTAAAGGGCTAGATTTTTATTATAGTTTTGGTTATATTTTACATGAATATCTAACTAGATAATATTTGATTTCTGAAAAAAAAGTTTCTACATGCAACATGCTTTCTATTTATTAAAGTAGATAATTAATAAAGATTTTTTTACAGAACTTAAAAGTATGAAACTGGACTTAGTTTTGCTAACTTTCTAATAGTTCTATTATTTCTAATTTAAGAAATGTAAAGGAAAAAAGATGTTCATTTAGTTTTTACTTGTAAAGAAAGACGTGCCCTAATTCTAGTAAAGATAAGCTTATTAAAGTACTAATCCTTAGGCCTACTAAAGACTAGTAGTAGCACGTAGTTTTGCAGGTAGTGGCAGTTGTGGACAGTGTAGAGCTAGAAGGAAGCAATATACAACTTAACGTCGTAGTACAGCATTTAAAATTCTAACGTTAGGAACTCAAGCTTACCAGTGCAAAGAAATTTGTATGACTGTCCTCAAGACTCGCCCCGTTTGAGACAAAACTGGGATGCGTCATGGTCACTCCATGGCGAAATATGTTCTTAAATTTTGTAATGAACCACCTATGTCATTTTTAAACCCACTAAATTACATAAAATGTTAACCCTAACTATCAGTCAACATATGTCACACATATACATAAGCAGCTCTATAATGAACACAATATGGCGCAAAAGTGACAATACTTGTGATTGGATATTCAGGGTCACATGCTAAAATGTTGCTTTCTCGTACATAGTGGCTCACGTGGGGCCTCCGAGGCTTTTCATATATCCAAAGTTGTGGATATGTTTGGTGGTATTTGGTTGGTTTATTATTATCTTCCATAATTTTTGTATCCATTTTATGTTAAAACTTAAAAGCAATCTGGTAAGACGATTATTCTTTCAAATTCAAGTTTTATCTTGACTTTGAAGCATACTGAATCATAATTTTATTATAGAGTTAGGACTAGTGATTACCATAGTATAATAATAGGAGATACTTATGTTTGCTTGTTGTAGTTGTACTCAATAGAACTCATTTAGTGCATTATACTACTAGTACTAAAGGCTACAGTACAATGCCATAAAAATCACACTTTAGCTGTATGCAAATTTTACAGTCATCATGGCAATATATTTAAATTTTGTTTTATGTTATTCATTTCACTGTTTTATTACCAATAATTAGTATAAGAAAGTGCTTTTATCAGCTTTAAATTTATGGAAAGGTATTCCTGATGATGTTGTATAATAATAGGAATTATTTTAAAATTCCAGGTTGTAAGTTATTTAATAGTAATAGATTTCTTAAGTTATATTTAATGGTGGGTGTGCAGCAACAGCCTCGAGGGACCAAATGGTCCCTTGTCTGTATGTTACGTTACTTTTTTCAGACATAATTCCAATAATATCTTTCAAGCTTAAGAGATTTATGTAAGTTATAAATTCATATCTAAAGCTACAATGAAGCTTTCATATCTGTAAAAAGCCAAACCATAATCGTGATGGAGAAATATTTTCCCCAAAAAACTTTTTGTTTTTAAACTATAGACAAACCAAATTAGTTAATCTTGTGCTAAAGAAAATACATAGTAAGATAATAAGATATGTTCTATGACCTGTTAAATTCTGTGTATATTTGAGAATTATGGGCTTGATTGTGACTTTCAGGAGTCTTGGAAAGTTACAGTACACAACACTTGTGAAGCTTGCTTACTTGTTAATAAGTTAGAGCTAATATTAGGAAAGATTGTGTTATTAAAAGGAGAAAATAGCAGATTAGGAAAACAGAGTTTCAGTAAAAGTTGCTTTGGGGAAGGGTTAGAATGAGCATGTTGGATTTAAAAGGGTGCACAATAGTAAAAAAAAAAAAAAGTTGTGGCTACAGAGATAGTTTGAGTTCACATTCAGGTTCCAGTATCTAATATTTTTCAACTTTTGGCTGTTTGCAATAAGAAACAGTTATTTGTAGTGGGGAGCACAGAAATACTAGTACTAGAATTTACTAGCCAGTTGCTAAAGTACACAATATTATAGTGTGTTAACGGTATAGTTGCTAGCCTCAAAAAACATTCAATTTTTGCAGTGCATGTAGTAGCAACTGTTGGAAATTACAAGTCAGAAGAAATGCTTAAAATACAGATAAATTCTTCAGAAATTTAAAGATCAAAATAAACATGGCCCTTTTGGAGCTGTTCCCTTGGGCAAAATGCAAGAATGAATACAAGGATCCAAATCTTCAAGTTCAGTGAAATGTTAGGAATATTAGAAGAACAGGTAGGCTGATTGGACCTGTGGAATAGTTTTCAGGATAAAGGTGTTAAATATTCTAGAGATGGACTCTACTTACAGGAGGTCAGGAAAACTAAAAATTGGTTATAATTTTGTGTAGTGGTGAGGAAGATGGAGTGATTGTGAATAAACAAACTGATAGATAACTAGGGCAGTGAGGAGATTAGAAAACAATTTAGAACAGTGGTCCTCAGCAGATGGGTCACATTAGGCCCTTGAAAGCCTGATATGTGGCCTGCACTATGATTAGATATTTAAAAATAAGCAGATCTGTATTGGGAGAATGATGTATTGAATTGTATTTTCTAACAAGCTCAGACCTGGCTCTTAGCTTTATGGTTATTATATCAATTGACACAGTATGGGAAATAATTATGGATCATTGATTAAATGTTTAACAAAGTAAATTATACATTTAAAGCTAAGTGTGTCAGACATAAAGATAAGTGCAGTATGATCAAGGATAAGTCTAGTTCTACTTTTTTGAGTATTAGGAACAAAATGGATGAGCTCAGGGCTCCAATTTAATAGGAAGGTTGTGATATAGTGGTTTTGCCCATCCCTGCTGACCCCTAGATTGAATAAATCGGGGTTGGTTTGCTTTTCAAAGTGGAGAACGTGGTTCACTTATCGTACTGTCTCTGGAGTATCATTCCTCTGGACTCCCCAATGCGAGTATCCCCCATTTCTCCTAGTGGAGTGTGGGAGTCCTTACCACTCCCAGTTTCCAGTTGCTGGAGTATTGGACAGAGGTCTATTCCTCCTGGGTGCCCTCCTACCAATTACCCTGGATGGTTTTCCTAGATGTATGGTGGGAGCAGGACCTACCTACACAGGTGCCTCCTCATAATTCCAGTTCAGAGATGAGTCTTTTCTATCTGGTTGAGTTGAGCATGGCCCTTGTTTTTGGTCATTCTCTTCATATTGATGATCATGGAAGAGGGTCTTCGATTTCTTATAATTCCACACATGGAATGTCACTTTCTGAGCTATTGGTTGGACTTTGTTTGTTCTACATCCTTCTCATAATTCTGTGGCAGGAAGTGTTGCCTTGCCTCTCGGGTTGGGGAGTTAGGATTTTGGTTCATTATCCCAGGCCAGGTAATCTCTGTTTCTTCAGGTTAAGTGAGGCATGAAAGGTCCTCTAATTGTGAGTTTGGTTTGTTGCATTTTGAACTTCTTCAGGCTGGAGTAAGGGTTTGTCCACTTTTGTGTTGCTTGTCTTCTCTTTGTAATTCTGGTGGCTCAACATGCAACATACTGTAACATTTAGGTTGTGTTCCAATAATACCACATTACTAAACAAAACTAAAGCAACAGCAATTCTCATGCCCTAGCCACTGTGCTTTGGGTCCTCAGCCCTATAATTCCAATATTTAGGGGTTGCCTTAGATTATCTGTTCATCTGTGGGACTATTGACATCATCACCCTTGAGATCAACAAATCAACCATTGTGATCTTTACTTTCTGTTCATCCAATGATTTTCCTCTTTTTTTTTATACAGTTTTCTTACAAATTCTGGATCAGAAAGTTTCAGATTTCTTTCAGAAAGAAGCAATCAAAATCTTTTATAATGCTTCTCTAGGCTTTTTTACTCAAAGTATGTGCTGGTATTTTCCATTCATTGAGTATTAATTTTCATTTTTACATAGATGATTCACTTAATCTGAAGGTCTTATATCCACACTGAGCCTTCCTACCTTAACTTGAGCTGTGATAGAAGACAACCACTGTTTCTCACTTATTTTGTTATTTGCCCTGGCTGATCCTCATTCTTGTTTGGAGGAATTCTTTTTATGTCCTGTCAAGGCTATTCAATGTTATCTCATGCATACTGAATCTTTCAGATAGTCTTAGAAAACATTCATACCTTGCGACAAACTACACTCCTTGAATCATGCTTTGGCTAGATTAACACATTGGCTTGTGCAGTTCATCTGTTGTATATACCTTGTTGTTCTCATTGCCAAATGGTAAATATGGTGAGAATATCTGGTTAATTCTCATCAAATTCACCATTTGGCAACGTCTTTGGCATTCTGGTTGCAGTACCCATTACAGGATATCCTACAGACTGGTATGTAGGCAAATTAAAATACATTATTAAAACTTCATTTACATTATTTTCTCTTCATCTTTGAGATTCCACTTGCCTTTGGTTGTAGTTATTCAAGCCAGATAGAATTCCTAACAGTTGAGTTCTTCTCTATTACCTGCATAATTACCACTTAGATCCATACCTATGTTGCACATGGTAACTCAGTTACAACTATACCCACAGTTTCTCTTTCATAATATCAGACTATATTTGAAATGATTTGTACAGTTGAGACTCTCACATATTGAATATACTTCTTAGGCAAAATTACACCCTTTGCACTGGTGCTTCATGAGAGTGATGCTCTCTGGAAGTGGAAAGAGGATGCAGTTTGGTAGCTGATGATGCCTCATCAGATACTTTACCAATCTCTGCATTTGAGACATTGGAGATGAGACACCTGTTTCTCATATAATGTATCATAACTCTAACCAGGACGGAAACCACCTTACAACTTTATTTTTATATTTTCTTTATCTTATTTTGTGTTCTTATTGCACTGTCCAATTAGTTATTACCAGTCTCCTCCTCTGAGAACTTTCCACTACAAGAATAGGACAATGCATTGTGCTCTGATCCTTAATACCTAGTATGTTACCACCTCTGAGTTTGTGCATGGCTCCACAGGTATTTATATACCTTTCATACCCCTCCTATATATTATTTAAAAGGCATGTAGGATGATGAAATAACCTACTGACAAGAAGGGTTTTGTTTCTTAGTGTCCTGTTTTTGGTCCAGTCTGTATGAGGTTGGTTCATTCCACTTGATTCTCTCGTGTATTGAGTCTGCTCACTTTCACTCTGGTTCTGGATTCTACCCAAATTCTCTTTGTTGCTCATATATTTCATTTGTTGTGGCCCAGACTGTTACCTTTCTCCTGAAGAGCCTGGTTTTTGGTGAAACAGTAGTCCTTATGACTCCCTCATCTATTTAATTGTGGTTATTCTGGCTTTTAATATTTCAGAGGTAAGTCTACTTGATTTGAATCTTACATTTTTAGAATTAAAATGTATTTCAAACAGGTACTTACTTGTGAAAAACATCCCCTCGAGGTATGTGAGTTTCCTTTGTGACTGCAAGTAAAGGTGAGAGCGAAGAGTTGATGCATGCTGTGTATTTTGTCAAGGACATTCAGAACCTAAAGTTAGATGGTTCTTAACAGCAACTCAACAAAAATTTGTTATGAAATGTTAAATTATAGGTGTTTTTCTCACAATATTCTTTGTTAGTCAAGTAATGAGTCAGAAATAGATATGTGAAAAAATAACATTTCAC